TGGGCAAAGTGGTTCACTCACCCTAAGCCTGTACCCTCTAAAGTCCCAAATCCACAGCTTCTGGTTCGCAGTCGCAACGTAAGGAAGGAAAAAGGATAGGCGAGAAAATCAATATGTACCATTTCGTGGCTGGCTGGAGGGAGGGGCCATACTCGTCCTCGCCAAATTCGGGTTGACTTCTCTCGGTTTTTTTCTGTATCATGTGAGCGATAACCTCCTACTCATGCTCGACGACAGTTTTTTGGGGAAAGGTCGGGGAGTTTAGAGAAAAAATTTCTAGAAAGTAATAGGGGGCTTGAAAAATCCAAGTAGATGGTTGGTAGGATGTGGGTGAGGAAGGGGGTCGTACCAGAGCAACTCCATCGACAGGATATGCCCTTCCCCTTTGCCAAGCTGCGCCTCAGTCCAGTTTTTCGTAAGTATATGTGTCTCACTTGTTTTTGTTAACATAAGTAAATTCTTTCCATTTTGCATTGGGTTTTTATGCACAAAAAAGTCTCGTTTAGATGTGATTCTCTTGAAATCACATTTAAACGAGACTGGTCATTGAATGAATTTTTACATGCTTATAGGTATTTCCGTCAGCACTGTACGATGGATTATGGAGGATACACGAAGGATCTTAGCGCTATTCACCAAGATCTGTCGTCAATTTTTATTTTAGACAATTCTCCCAGGAGCTTACAGAAAGTTTCCTCGTAAGTTAGTCCATCACATGGAAGACTTTTTCTGAGGATTCTCACTTCCTATCTTGGTTTCTTTATCTTATATTGGTATCTTATAATAGAATGATCACGTGGTATCAAGAAGTTGCCATTGCAGAAAATGCTATTCCGATTCCATCTTGGTTTTCGGATCCATCGGACACGTGTTTACTGAACTTATTACCATTCCTCGATGCGCTACGGTTTACATCAGATGTGCGAAGTATTTTGAGTCGAAATCAACAGAGTTTCAATCAAGTGTGGTGATGCTGATAAAGTTGCGCTGTCGTTCCACTTGTGAGTTCTTCACTTATAATTCCACCTTTTTCCAATTTACTCGATTTTCGCTCTTCAACTTGATTTTCTGAAAAAATA